CACCTCCCTTTGTAGCCAGACTTCACCACAGCAGAAGCGAGTTTCTGTTTTTAGGTCTCAACAGCTCCACGTCAGGTGTATCGCCGCCCCTTGAACTGCAGTCGGTGTAAACAGGAGGATTTGGTATGGATCCTCCGTCTTGGGCGAGTACTAGGTTTCCGTCTTCATATTTTTGGGTGGAAACCCGTCGTCTTGACCTCACTAGCTGTGTGGACACAATAGTTTTCTGTGTGGGGGAACAACATCACTCGTAATCTCTTTCCTTCTCATAATTACAAAAATAGTCTGCTAAATGTTCTATTCTGTGGATGCTTTATGTGTAAATGCAAATGCTACTCTCGATTCTGTTTTTACATTAAACATTAAACCTCTCCCTTCTGTGGTGACATATATGGCTCAATGTAGCTGGATTTCAAAATACCCTTGTGCTGAAGATGCATCACCTGGTGGTCTGGCCCTCTGAGCTTCCTCATTGTTGTGGTTGATACCAGGGTGTCAGTGGCATTTGGGTCATGTTTGGCAATGCTGTTCGTCTTTGACATCCCTGAGACCCCCTGCTTCTGTCGTAGTCATGGAAACCTCCCCCAGGGTAACTACATGGAGGGTCATTGTTTGGTGCATGTTGCCTTAGTAGTTGCGGGCAATCTCTGGTCCAATGGCCCATTTGGTTGCAATGGTAACATCCCTCAAACCGTAAACGTCTTCTGCCTGTGCCTTCTTGGAAACCTCCTGGTTGTTGGTTCTGCATCTGATTCTCTGGCACTATCTGAGATTTAACTGTTTGAGGTGTCTGCTCTGCATTCTCTGGTTCTTCCTGAGCTTGAATTGTTGGAGGTGTCTGCCCTGCCTTCTCTGGAAGTTTCCCCTCCCTTCTCCTTGTCTTGTTCCTACAAGCTACGGTGTCTTGTTTTTTCTGCTATGTCTTCCCTCACTGGCGGGTCTGCTACTCGGACCACATGTATGCTGTGTGCCAATAGGCTGGCATATTCCAGATGGAGTATCAGACTTGTAACTCTTATAAATCTTTCTTCATCTTCACTCCAGATAGTTCTTTTAATTGGAAAGGTTAAAGCATCTGATCAGATTATTACCCTTTCCTTGATATCTGCGGTTGAGCCTGGCTCTGCGTCTAGTCTCAATTTAGTTTCTTTTGGTGACATGTTCTCTAACTATTCGAATGAATATTATTAAGTTATCAAAGATTGAAACACTAATCCTCCGACTAGCACCTTCGTTCCTGATAAATAATATCCTATGTCATCCGAACTTAACTTTAAATCTGGGTAGGTTTTTTTTGGTTTTTTTTTTAGAATTTTTTTTTTATTTTTTTTTTATGATTTAAGTTTTTTTTTTTTTTGTAAAATATTAATAAATTAAAAGATAACATTTTTTTTGAAATTTTAAAATAAAAATTGTACAGTGTATCGTTTTTGACTTTGAGATAAGAAAATCGAAGTCTTGTGAAAATCTAAATCTACTGTGTACAGTGCATACTGAAATGTATGGAACTATGTAAATGTCATAATTTGTGTTAGATGTAATCAATTGGTGTTTGAATATTCTACAGTCTAGTTTGAAAGTCTATGATGTAAAGTTTCTCATATGTTAATTAGAAACCACTTTGTAATTCTGTCCCGGCGAATGTGTTCATCAATAACACTCAAAATTAAGCTTCAAAATGTTATAATATCTTTGTAATAATTCTGTATTACCAGCAGAGTGCGCTGTTGTAATTTCCAGCTTAATCCACTAGGGATAGCTGTTGCAAAACGGACCTCTTTTTAACAAGAAGAAGCTTATTTCCTTAAAAATGGGAAGAAAATGTGAATATGGTTAAACAACACAGCACATAACCGCCAAAACACACTTGCAAACAAGAATATCTCAAATAAACCGCCAATACACACTTGCAAACAAGAATATCTCAAATAAACCGCCAATACACACTTGCAAACAAGAATATCTCAAATAAACCGCCAATACGCACTTGCAAACAACAATATTTTCAAAACCAGACTCCTACAAATACCAAACTTCCCACGGTAAGATAACCTGTCTATTTTATAGTTCCAACTTCTGCCAATAAATATGATTTGTCCTTCTCAATATGGAGTGCCTAGCCTCATGTGAGTGGGACTGTGTGTCAAAACAAACAGAGTACTTTCAATTAGCATTTCACGAATGGCGGCTGCCGTGTGGCTTATTTTCAGCATGAGGACAAGACAAGATGGCAACTGATTTTCCAACCTTTGACCTGAAGAACAAAGGGATTTGAAAACACCTCGTGGCTCTCAGAGGGGAGTTTAAATAATGGCGGGGTGTAATCTTGTCAAGAAAATTGAACACAAAACAACACTGCAGTTTAAAATAACATTTCTATCTAGTTTACTATGAAAAAAATGGGCTTTATCTTATTGATATCATCACTTAAAGTTAGGAACCCTTACGCATAAGCTATAAACCTATCTACGTATTATTTGACTTTATAGTCCACTATTGGTCAACTGCTGCCATTTCGACACGCTAGGTGGGAGTATTATGGAAACTTATCAGCGACTATTAAATGACCGTCGTCAATTTAAGTAATGCTGTTGTAACTCCACATCTCGTATTCCACCCGCAATATCTTGGTTGAAACTAGAACAGTTATGACCACTGATAAAGCTTACACCTTAATCAAGCCTTTCCTCAAAAGGACTTTTTTAAAACAGTTCTCAACTGTTTTCGACTAGCACTGTCTTCAGTTACTCAACCCTAAGTTGATTCGCTATGCCTTGTTTGTTTTCAATTACTTGATCCCTAATCAATTCGCTATGTCCCACAGATCTTAACAATAATCGTTAAATGGACTTATATATCCTTACGTCATAGGCTAATTTAACTACTGACGTAACCAGAGACACCTACATGAAAACACAACAAGACACCTACCCAAAGTACAATGGCCTCACACATTTATATTTTAAAATACTACACACACACAAATTAATAGCATGCAGGGTTAGATATAAGAAAAAAAGGAAATTGGAACTCACCCTGATTGTGAAAATGCAACGCCATGTGTTATGGAATTCTTATTGTTATAAATTTGGTTGTTTTAACATTAAATACACAGCTATTTTCAGGATCCGCTGGCCTCCGTCCAACACAAACCTATTTTGTACTGCATAAACTATGAAGAATTTGATTTAACAGGTTTCCTCTTACCAAGTATTCGAGCTCGTTGTGTCGAACGGAAGCCGCGTCTCCGGAAAACAGCTGGTTGTGTACTCTTCTGTCCAACGAGAATCACGTCGCGGAGCACCAATTGTTAACTGTGATGGTTATTCTCGCGTCCAGGAAAGAGAAGCTTAAAAAGGAGACTAAATGGAGTCTCTGAGATGTTTTCAAATTGGTACTTTAATTAATAAAAGGCGCGGTACAGTCACAAACAGGATATTGTCCGACAGAAAAGCAGCTGTCTCTGGCCCTCGCTAGCAGAGAAAAGGGGCCGAACCGCTCAGGTGCTGCTCTTATATAGCTTCTGTAGGCTCCTCCCTGCGGGCCGGCCCTCCACATCTTAATGTCCGTTGTTACGTTAAACAGAGGATTCAGGCTTTGTACATTCAATATATACTTAAACACGACTCTTCTCCTCATATTGTCTTTCATCACTTTTCCTTTAACACATTCTAAACGTTGTAGTTAATATTCTAGAAAATACTTCACGGCTGGTTTGGTTTCTGGTCATTCCGGATGTTGTCACATCTTACCCACGTCTGTAAACAATAACTTTATTCAAAGAAACTATACCTTCATTTAATATTCAGCAATAATAATACTTCTATAGTTGCAGTGTTAAAATCAGTAGGTTTCGGTGTGCATCACTCCATGTCATTTCGCTACTAAATTAACCTCTATAAGAAATGGTAAACTAGCCACATGCTAACCGGAGATGACGGATTTTCAGAATAAAAGCTTAACTGGTTGTGCACAATAATTTTCTGGTTTTTCAGTATAAAACAGCATTTAAACTGAAGGTACATTTAAGGTACTTTATGCCATCAAAACATTGATTTTAATTTCTAACAGTAGCCTAAATACATTTGTTCCTGCTCAAGATTAGATTCAACTTTATTGTTATTGCACATATTGCAGGTACTGAGACAACGAAATGCAGTTTAGCTTCTAACCAGGTGCAACAAGCAGGGAAAAGAAATGTGCACAATACTACAGTAAACAATTAACACAGTCAATTATGTGGATTACACCACATTTATTTCGTTAAAAATAAACGAAATATGATTTTGTATGAATGATTAAATGTAGGGTGAATTGCCCTAATGTGGGACATTTTTGCATTTCAGACTTCGGGAATATATTGCGATATGAAGCCGATACAATAAATCAAAATCCAGTAGGCTACCATTCCGAAATCCCCAGTAATATTAGACACTAATAATACAGTAAACTATTAACACTGTACATATTATTGTTTGCCCGTGGGATTAGGATGATCGGTAGTGAGACCCGTGCTGCATTTTCCTCCGGTCGGATGTGATATAAAAACAAAGCGATTATTTTTGTTGTTGTAAACTCACGTGGATTAAATGTAGTGCATTCATTTCAACTCGCGAACATATGATACATTAAATGATCGTGAGGATGATGATTGAAAATCGTTTGTTTGAGCCTGGATGCATTTCCTGATCTAAAAACATAGCGATGGTTTTGTACTTACGCCAACGTGAATTAAACATTATTTTGTTAAATAAAAACATGGAGATGTTTAGTAAGTGATTACATGTCTCTTATTTAGCACAGAATATGATCCTATCCGTGACATATGGATCTTAACAAATATCCGCTATATCAGATACCTGTAGATCAGCTGTTTATTTCACATGGGTTCCAGTGTGGCAGCTTTTTAATCACGGCTCCCCCTGGTGGATCCATGATCCATTGCAGCTGGTTTCATTATAATTAAATGTATTTATCAAGGGGGCGTTTCAAATCCTGCGGGGGGGTTTTCCTTTTCAGCAGGGGCCCACCCAGTGCCGATCACGGACCCGCACGGGTAGGCGTCTGAAATGGAGCGCTACATCTGTATGTTGTATGATGTCCTTTTTATTTGCTGTTGTTTTCTGTTTTCATGTGTAACCGACTTTGCTGCAGGTGTCCCTTGACAAATAGATCGATGATCTCAATGGGATTCATCTGGTTAAATAAAGGTTTGAAATTAAATGACATTTGATGTTAGAAATATGAATATAGACTAACAATTATATTGTTTGTCTGTTGTCTGTAAACCTCCATGTCTCCTTAAATATCCTTGCGTTAGCGTCTCACGTGTTGTGCTCTCTTCTGACCATATTTGGAAGTACAACTTCCTACAGGTTCAACCTCCACTGGCCGCGGCCGCAGCTGGACCCTTCTCGTTGGCTTGTCATTCTGGCAAGACCCGCCAGACGAGCAGCAAATACTTTGGTTGTTCATCATTTCTCCTGTTTTGCAGGTCAGTTTTGTGTACATATTGTCACAAGTGTTATAAATATCCACGGTAATGTTGTGTCACGATGTCCTAGTGTTTGAAGTGGTGTTTGGACGTTGTTTATTGTCTTCAATGCAGCATAGGAGACTGCCTCGTGGTTGCTGTGTGCGAGTGTGTGTGTAATGGCGGTCGCTATTTTAATGTAGCATAACGGAGCTCTATGATCAAAGTGAATGCAAGTAAATGTAATTGTTTACAGCTCCTGTACATTTTGTACTTACATATTGAGGTCAGAGTTAATACATAAATGCTTGTTGGATGCTAATGCTAGTGTAACCCCGGTGTAATGTCCCCTCAGCAACAGACCACTCAGAGCTGGTGATTACTTCAGTTTATTCCATACATAGGCTACCTGCATTGCAATGGACACATACAATGGACACGTGAGCTGGGTTTCTCAACAGATCCTCACGCGGTATCTAAATCTCCTTTACAATCCAATAATCAACAACACAACAATGATCGTATAGTGGTAGTATAACAATGTGAAACATTAAACATAAACAAACTGGTGTACAAAACTCACATACCTGCATTGCAATGGACACATACAATGGACACGTGAGCTGGGTTCTGTTGGAGAGATAGCACCACGCTCACGTTAGCCTATTAGCTCAAATTAGCTATTGACGAACACATTAATAAATCATATAACACAAATAGCGAATCACACAAAAACATGTTGCTGTGAGCATTAAACGACTAACATTAAACTAAACAAACACAACAGAACGTTATTGTCCTAATAAAATAATAACATACATTTTGTCCACAGACATAATACAATAGCACCTTACTCTCAACAGATTCTCACGCGGTATGAGAACCTCCCACAATCCATTGCGGTAACAAAGCTACAGCAATGCAGGCACACGTTTGTAACACCAGATGGCGGAATTCTCCAATTTATCCTGGATTTTACACCAACCATTATAACTCTGTTACACTAGCACAGATTAGATAGATTCTGATGCTTTGCCTGGGAAGGTATTTAAAAGGGTGTGATTACAAAATCAATATCTGAATAGAGAAATTCTTATTTTAAGTCATGGTGTTTATTTCAAATATATTGAAGACATGAATATATATATACACATGTGTTCATATTGAAGACAGAAAAGGGCATTAACCTCTTAAGCCCGAGGGTCCCCCCAGTGGATCCCTCCCACCGAATTTTTTTTACGAGACTATGACCGTGTCTCAATTCAGGGTTTGTATCCTTCGGGGTACGCAGCATACGCGGCCGACGAGACCGCGTAGGCTGGACCGAGCGGCCTACGAAATGAGACGGTCTAGCCTACGGAGCACTTCGTATTTACGTCACGATACGCACTGTTCGGTTGCGTTGCTCCAGCAGCCTGCTAGCAAATTAGCTGAAAAGGATCCAGAAACTTTACTTTTAAATTTTTTGGAGATCACCGTCGGAGATTAAATAAAGAGAACCATGGCCAGGTAAATAAGATGAAGCTGTTCCTCTAGCCCCCAGTAATGTTACATTAGTAAGTTAACAAGTAAATTATATATAGCTGATGTAATTTAATCATATTATTTCATATATTTAAAATAAGTCTTAATTTTTCTGTACTAATAAAACAATATGTTTTTTAAATGAACAAAAGCATGTTGTATAGATTGATTGTTAGCAATATTAGTGTTCTAATCTTAATAGCTGTGATTATAACAGTTTATATTCTCCTTCTTCCCCTAACCCTGCCCAGATGATGTCCCACTGACACCTCCAGGTCCAGCAGCACCGTGCCCCCCCCCCCCCCCCGCTCTGCTGAAATACACAATTAAACATTTTCTATGACCTATTTTTTGTATTAATAAAATTAAACTGAAGACAGTTGAATGACCTAGAGATATCCTCTTATTCCACTGCTTATGTACACATGTTGGAAATAATCTTTAACACCTCAGTAAATGAAATAAACAATGTGTTTAACAATTAAAATGTAATATTGTATTTTCATCTAATCACAAAGTAGAGGTAAGAATATATCCATCCTCTCTCTGCAGCTTCATGTCTTCTATTATTATAACTTTCATCATTGAGACAGAGGAAATCAATCATGTTATTTAACATCACCAGCAGTAACACAAATATCAGTAAAAGTGTGTTTATGGAGTTGTTTATTTGTAGTGTATGTGCAGCAAGTATATAGAAGCAGCTGTTTGGGGAATCAGACAGACTCAAGCTATAATCGTTAGATATCTATTAAAAGAAAGGACACATACAAAATCAAATTCTGAAAGTAAGACACAAGTCTGTAGGACGGCATTAAGCAGAGGTCTGGGTGGAGGATGCTCCTGATCGCTGCTTTGCTTTCTCCAGCACCTCGGGGGTCCAGGTGGATGGCAGCTCTGTCCTGAGGATCTGCTGGGGTTAAGGGTCCTTCTCCAGCACCTCGGGGGTCCAGGTGGATGGCAGCTCTGTCCTGATGATCCGCTGTGCACTTTTCAGATTAGGGGTCCTTCTCCAGCAGATCCATTTATCCAGAATTGTCCTAATTACAGAGAAAAACAAGATAAAAAAAAAGTGAATGAATCATATTATACACAGGGTTGCAAAAGTATTTTTGCTAAATGTAACTAAGCATTTCAGACAAACAATCCTTAAGGGATCATTTAAAATGTAGTACTGTTCTGGTTTTTAAAAAACTAAAGAGAAGAAATGACACACCTGCATCCCTTTGACAGCACAAACTAACATCAAGCAAAAGGCTGCTGTCTATTTTTGATTGTCTTATTATTATGGGATCAGGATAAATTAAATACACTTTAACCTAAATAAAAGATGATCAAATCTGGTGGAAATATTTAAAATAGGCTTTTCTTTTAGCTCTACCTCAAAGCAGCATGACCTGAATAAAAAGGTTGTAATGTTGTCCCAAAGTTGAATAAACAGTAAAACATTGGAACATGTCAGAGAAATAAATAAAGCTAACAGCAGCTACATGTCAGGGTAGCATTTTATAAATCCCACCGTACTGTAGGCTATATCGGTCTAAATGTTTTCACTTTGGTCTATTTATGTAATATAAAGTATAACTTATCTATAACAGCCAAGATCTCTGTATGACTTTAATAAACTTCTGAATTGAATTAAAAAATAAGTGTAAACAACAGTGCCGTACGTCCAGCTAGCTAGTTAGCGTCACATATTTATCCGTATTATTTAACGAAAATGTACGTTGTAATGCCCCTTGGGTTTGACGTGTGTGACGTTAGTTAATTTAAAGTAAGTTCAAACCCAATACTCACATTTATAAGTAGGCTTGTTTGAGACAAGCAAGACCTGCGCAGACCTGCGGAGGCCTACCTGTGAGTACGGCTGTACTGAGGTGTTTTTCCTTCGGAGACGTCGCGAAGAGACGGAGCGGCTCCACCTGTTGCTGCATGCGATCTGCGATTTACGGAGGCCTGCTCGTCGCGAAGAGACGGAGCGGCTCCACCTGTTGCTGCCTGCGATCTGGGATCTGCGATCTACGGAGGCCTGCTCCCACCTGTTAAGTTCGGCTGTACTGGAGAGGTTTTTACCCCGGAGACGTCGCGGAGAGACGGAGCAGCTCTACCTGTTGCTGCCTGCGATCTGCGATCTACGGAGGCCTGCTCGTCGCGAAGAGACGGAGCGGCTCCACCTGTTTGCTGCCTGCGATCTGCGATCTACGGAGGCCTGCTCCCACCTGCACGGCTGCACTGGAGAGGTTTTTACCCCGGAGTCGTCGCGGAGAGACGGAGTGGATCCACGCTTCGGGCTTGGCCTGCTTCCACCGGGCGTGTGCTGCTGTACGGAGGAGGATTTTACCACGGCTGGGGCCTGCTTCCCACCTGTCCTGGTTCTGCTGTAGCAGAGGCCTGCTTTCACCCCGGGGATACCACGCTGCTGCTTTCGCCTGTCCTTTGCTGCTGTGCTGATTTTGCTCCAGGAACATCGCGGTTCCCTGGTCTGGGAAAATGGCCCATATCGGGATTCTGCTGTGCCTGTTAACTATTTTGGACTATGAGAAGATCTCTAATCATTCTGAGGAGTCTACTGGATTCAGGTCTGTTCTGCCACCCGCAGTGGGCATCCCCTGCAAAGTTTCGGATGTGTTGCTCAAACAATTACCGGTTGCCTTGTCACAGTCAATCTGCTCAACAAAATATGTTTGTCTTTTTTGTTTTCCTGCGATGATGGTTCTTCAGGACTGCTTCTTAAGCTCAAATCACACTCTCGCAGACTTTTCCGGTGTTTCTAATTTCGATGACAATGTATGTGTGTCGTTTAAGAGGAAAAGATGCCTGGTTTTGTTGTTGTTATTACTGTCAGGAAATGTACAACCTAACCCTGGTCCGCCCAGTAGTAGTAGTCAGATCGCTACTCCTGCTGATTTTAAAGCTAGGTCTGGGTTGGGTTTCATCCACTTGAATGTGCGCAGTCTGTTAGGTAAACTAGATGTTGTCCGTTATCTGGGCGAGCTCGACTGACGCTGACGTCATTGTCTTATCAGAGACGTGGCTAAATAAATCTATTTTGGCCTCTGACATTGCCTTAAATGGTTTTAATGTGTATCGTACCGACCGGCCTAATAAAGGTGGCGGCGTTGCCATTTATGTTAAGAATAAGTTCAGTGTAACCGCTGTAGTTTCCAAATCTATCAGTAAGCAATTTGAATTTTTAGCCTTAAATATAGAAGTGGCAAAGGGTCAACAGGTCATGGTCGTGGGCTGTTACAGACCCCCTCAGCTGTCAAAGACTCCTTGTCCTTCACTAGCAAATATTTTATCGCAACTAGACTACAAGGAAATAGTGCTACTTGGAGATTTGACTGGGACTGGTTAACTGCAGTGTCAGAGGATTTTAAAAACCTTTGTATCTCTTTGAATGTTACTCAGATTGTTGACAGTCCTACTCGCCCTAATATTAAGTCCCCAAATAAATCCTCCCTAATTGATCTCATTTTAACTAATGTTCCCTATAAATACTCAGCTGTGGGAGTATTTGCGAATGATCTGAGTGACCACTGTGGTTGTAGCCACAATTAGGGACACTAAGGTCCAAAGGTTAAACCTCGTATTATCATCAAGAGAGACATCAAACATTTTGTGGAGCAGGGTTTTGTGCATGATCTGTTTGGGTTTGATTGGGGAAAAATCGATTTGTGTGCTGATGTAGAAACCGCATGGTCTTATTTTTATCTTGGTTTTATGGAAATTATAGATAGACATGCACCCCTGCGTAAATTTAGAGTGAAGGGACGAGACAATCCTTGGTTTTCTGCTGAATTATCTATTCTCCTACATGAGAGAAACAAGGCCTGGGCAAAGGCTAGGAATTCAGGCTCAGAGGTAGAATGGCTGCGTTTTAGGCAGCTAAGAAATAGCTTCACTTCACATGTCAAAGGTGCTAAATCTAAGTATTATCTGTCAGTTACCACAAAGAACCTGAACAACCCTAGAAAATTCTGGAAAGCCATAAAATCGATATCCACCGGTGATATCCGTAATGAGCTACCTCCGTGCCTTACCACAGTATCTGGCACTATATCGGATAGGACCACCATACTAAATTGTTTTAATGAGCATTTTGTGTCCTGTGGCTCTCTGTTTCATTCTGTTTCTAATTCTGCTTCTGTGAACACCACAGTCGGTGACTCAGAACAATGTGGTCTGGAAAACCCCTTCAGTTTTACTCCTTTTTACTGTTGATGTTGTTCGTGAAGTCTTAACCAAGCTAGATCCTAAAAAGCCGGCTGGTCCGGACAACGTAGAACCTTTCTTTTTAAAGATAGCTGCAGATTTTATTGCTCCACCTCTTACTACTCTTTTTAACCTCTCCCTCAGCACGAACAAAATCCCAAAAGTATGGAAGTCAGCTTATGTCCTGCCACTACTAAAAGGAGGGGAGGCCACCTTATTAAACAATTATAGACCCATCTCTAAGTTGTCAGTTCTGGCCAAGGTTCTTGAACGCTTAGTGAGTGAACAGGTAAAGGAGTTTTTATGTAACAATGACATCCTGTCTAAACATCAGTCAGGCTTCAGAAAGCAACATAGCACCATCACTGCGACAATGAAAGTGGTGAATGACATTACGAGTATTTTAGATAATAAGCAGAGTTGTGCAGCTCTATTTGTTGACCTATCCAAAGCTTTTGATACTGTCGATCATTGCATTTTGAAGCAAAGGCTGGTCAGTATAGGCATGTCCAGCCATGCAGTAGGGTGGTTTGTAAACTACCTCTCTGAAAGGTCCCAATGTGTTCAGTTTGATGGGCTGTCTTCTGAGTGGTTAAACATCACTAATGGTGTACCACAAGGTTCAGTTTTAGGTCCGCTATTATTCTCTATCTATATTAATAGTTTAGGTGAAAATGTCGAAGGAGCAACCTTACATTTTTATGCGGATGATACCGTTATGTACTGTGCAGGTCCCTCGATTAACGAGGCTGTTGTTAAATTACAGGCTGTTTTTAACATTATTCAGGCTCAGCTCTCTGAGCTTAAGCTTCTTTTAAATGTTGATAAAACCAAGGTAATGCTCTTTTCTAAAGCTAAAGCTAAAAATACACCAGAGACTGCTTTGGATATTGTAACTACGCAAGGAATACAACTTGAAGTGGTTACCTGTTACAAATACCTGTGTATCTGGCTTGATGATTGTCTCACTTTTAAATTTCATGTAAATAACCTGCTTAAAAAGCTGAGGGTTAGGCTAGGTTTCTTTTACAGAAATAAGTCCTGTTTCTCGCTTGAGGCCAGGAAAAGGCTAGTCACTGTGACCTTTTTACCTGTGCTGGATTATGGTGATTTGTTATAAATGAATGCACCTGCCAATTACCTGAGCAAGTTAGATGCTGCGTATCACAGTGCACTGAGATTTTTGACAAACTGTAAAGCACTTACGCATCACTGTACCCTGTATACCAAGGCGGTTATGCCATCACTTACTGTACGGAGGCTCAGTCACTGGTACTTTTTCATTTACAAAGCCATGTGGATAAACTACCATCTTATATCTGCTCCCTGATCTCTCTGCGAATTGAAAGTACTTATTGCCTGAGATCGCATGCTGTGGTTTTATTAAATGTGCCAAGTGCTAGGACTGTCTTAGGGAAGAAAGCTTTTAGATGTGCAGCTCCACTAACATGGAACAGTCTGCAAAAAGAATGGAAAATTACCAAGCTAGTACCACTACATGTTTTTAAAGCTCGGTTGGATGCTACAAAATCAGATGCTGTTGGTACCTGTACTTGTGGTTAAATATGTAAATTGTAATCCCTGTACATTTTGCTGTATGATGTCCTTTTGTTGTTCTGTTGTTTATGTCTTCTTGTGGAACCTACTGCTGCAGGTCTCCCTTGAAAAAGAGATCATTGATCTCAATGGGATTTTACCTGGATAAATAAAGGTTTTGAATTGAATTGAATCAACGTCTTGCTAGTGCGTTGCATGATGGTTAGTCATTTTGTCCGACTTGCTCTGGAGGCCCGCCCACATGAGACTTTGAAATTTCGCGGGACAAAGACGCCCGCAGCCTTGAGAGCGAGGCGAGGCGAGTTGGCGCAGTTGCTCTCCACGGGCTGCAGACGCGAAATGCTTGATGGGAAACGACTCGCTGGTATCTCGAGCTGAGCGCTCATTGGTGGTTTTTACCACGTACTGCTGATGAAACTCTCCAATTGGCTGGCAAAAGTTTGTTGTTGTTTTGTGTCAGTTTTACGTCGCCACATCCATTCCCATTTTTCATCATTGTTCCACAATGTTTATCATCATGAAATTAATATCTATATATTTTATACTATACTTGCACTGCTTACCGTTTTCATACTTTATATATCTTAGCATATTCATACACACTGTTCATGCTGCTCACAGGCTGATATCTAGTGTATTCATACCCCTCACTGTTTATTCATCATTCAATTCATTTTTATTCTGTAGGTTGTGTACATTACTTTTCACTTTACTGCTTGTTGCACCTGGTTAGAAGCTAAACTGCATTTCGTTGTCTCAGTACCTGTAATATGTGCAATAACAATAAAGTTGAATCTAATCTTGAGCAGGAACAAATGCATTTACTTAGTACATATCTGACATTAACGAATATACATTTGTGCATTCTTTATAAATGCAAACTTGTCAAGACCACTGACGGAAGTAGTTTTGAAAAGTAATAAGTGGTTCTGTCTTTTACATGTATTCAACCCCCCTTGTACTGATTTGTTTCAAAATGAACTGACACTTGAGTCATTCATTTGTAGTGATATAATAATTGTGGGATTTCTATTGCATCCACTTCATCTGCAACGAAAAACGCCAACGCAATTTCCGCCATTGCAAACCCAGCCAGTCAAGCCGACTCCGACTCCGAGCTGTCCGACTTAAGACGAGCTTTTTGACACCTCCCCCGGCTGCGATCGGCTACTCTCGTCTACTTTCGAGGCGAGCCGCAATGTGTCTCAAACAAGCCTAGTGATTCCTCCGCTTGCGGCTGCTTTTAAATCCACTCTGCTCGGCAGACCGGAAGCCATTTCATTTGAAAAAAACTCCGGCCCATTCCCAAACCGCCCCCTACACCCTACCCCTCAGTTTGCGCGTTCACGCGGAGGGTCCGCCATATTAAGGGCTGTTGCAAAGCAACGAGTGAGGAGCGGTGTGGAGGGGGAGTGGACCATAGATATATATTAGGGCCGGGACTCGATTAAAAAAATTAATCTAATTAATTAGAGGCTTTGTAATTAATTAATCGAAATTAATCGCATTTTTAATCACATATAAATATTTGACCTGAGAACAGTGAGAAGCAATTTTTTTCACATGGATTTTAGTATACCATTAGGCGCATTCACACCGCAGTACTTTTCCCACAAAGGTTCATGAGAATTTAGTTCATGAGAACTCTTTGAACCTGGGGGTGGATTAGGGAGTCCCAGCAGCCTTCCGAGTAAATCGCCAGAACGCCGACACCTCCTCATCTCCACCGCTCCCATGTTTTATTTTGTGTTGCCATAAATTAGTCTCTGCGTTTCTGCGCTGGGCTAATGCTAATAATGCTAATGCGAGGATAATAAAATTCACAAAACTTTTTGGGAGTTTTACGGGGCGTGGTTTGCAATCCGCCCAGCGATTCAGACATATAGCTCTTTTCTCACAAGAGAGCCGTACGAAAGTCCCTGCTCTCTAGCAGCTCTCTGCTCTCTAGCAGGGACTTTCGTGGGGGTAAAAGGTTCTCATGAACTAATTTTAGTACCGGCTCTTTTTGGTGTGAACGCGATAAAAGAGGCTAACGTCCACGCTAGCTTCCACGCTAGCTGCTATATGTTTTGCATTGAGGTGATACTTGAGGCTTGATGTGCTGCGGTGATATGCGAATTCGTTTTTGCATAATTTGCACACAACCGTGCTCTATCGACGCTTCCATCCGTCCGTTTTTTAAAACAACATTTCCCACTGTTGTTCACTGTGGTTTGTTGTTGTCTGAAGTCATGAACGTTAGTTGGTGCTCCAGTATAATCGGTACGCCTGAAACTCATCCAGTGAGAAACGTTCCGCGGTGCAAAAATAAGTGCGATTAAAATGCGTTAATTTTTTTAACGCGTTAATTTTTGTGTAATTAATTAATCTTAATTAACGCGTTAAAGTCCCGGCCCTAATATATATAAACACTAGATGGCTCATGGGAGATTTTCCAGCGTAGCTGACCGGCCGCCATCTTGCTACAGTCAACAGTTACTCTGATTTGCGCTATGGTAGCTGTTGTAAGGTGAGTGATCTGCACAAAAATACTCTTAACTCGCTGAAATCTTGACTGATTTACAAACGGTTTGGTTTATTATAAACATTATTAGCATGGCTATGATACAGGATGCTTGGACATGTTGAAATTGCAGCTTTTCTTTGTATATGTGGTTGTATTTATTAGCTGGCTAATAACAAGAGACTGTGAGTGAGACCTATATTACAAAGTTGACCCAGCAACTTTACACCAGTGGGAGAGGCAGAACTGCTCTTTCTTTTCAACATAACTTAAGTTACACATGATTTCTTCCAAGTGGTTTGGCTTGTTAAAAACATATTGCATTATGATACAGGAATTTGCTGGCTTTGTGTTTACAGAAGTACCTGACTATGCCGGACTTTTGTGCAGCCTATGGCTGCTCTAATCACCGCAGTCTGCAAACAAGAACCCGTGGGATCACCTTTCACCTGTAAGATATGACAATATTATGACTAAAATTAGGATAATCGTTAATTACTTAGTGGATGTATGTACATTACAAGTCCTGCTACACAGGATCAGTGGGGCTATGTGAGATAATAGTATTGCAAGATTGTTGTTGACCCAGCCTCTTTAGAATATGTTGCTACCATTTCTGTACACAATTATTTAATGTTTATTTTGGACACCTTGTTTATTACTCTTAGTGTGGTTGTCTTATTCTTAAAGTAGGCTATACATACATGCATACATACAAAAAATATGATCATTTCGGTGTGTATTTTTGTCCTTACCCTTAATGTTAAAGGAAAGAAGGGAGGAAAATGTTGACAATAATTTATATATCTGGCTACCTTTCTCATGTTTTTAAGGTTTAAGGCAGTGGGAACTCGCCCTAAGAAGAGACGGTTTTGTTTCCTGTGACAGGACACTGCTCTGCAGTGAGCACTTCAGGAGTGAGGAATTTGACCGGACAGGGCAGACTAATGGCGAATCGCTACCACTAGGAGCATATATCGCCACCTACTATGTATTTATTAAATCTTCATGTTCCATGAGACGCAGCACTATGTTCCCCACATATGTTTATGTTTGATCAGTCTAATAAACCCATAACATGGTTGTGAAAGAATACCAAAGCTGAGGCTGGACGATGATTGATTGTTGGTGTGCCATGTGTCACCGTGTGTCTTATTGGTTTTGTGTTATACTGTATTTTATTGTGTGCAGCTGGTCCTTATCTCCAAGACACATTTAAAACAAATAACCTTGAACCTTGAAGCCCCATCTCTCCCTACCTGCTCCTGCTTCCTACATCCCCTCCACACCACACCAAGTTGTTCTTCTTAATAATAATAATAATAATACATTTATTTTGGGGGGCCGCCTAGGGGCAATATAGGGAACAATTTAAACAGTGAATTTTGTGATATATCAGCCGGGGTGAGGGTTAGGGTCTGTGAGCACATTTTATGTTGGTTTGGGTCTTCTGATAAAGGTGTGAATATCTAAATAATATACCAACATATGCTATTGTCATTAGTTGTGTCCCTGTTCTTAAAGCTAAGGCATTGCTAAATTAACAACTCTTGGCTTACAGAGTGGTAACATGAGACCGATTTTTATATATAAAATATAAATGTATTTTAATTTTATAATTTATTTTAAATATTAACAATATAATACAATTAATGGAAATATATACGCCGGCAAATATTTAATATAAATACCTTGTGTGTGTGTGTGTGTGTATATAGAGGCTTCCTAATGACGTCACGGGATTTCGCGGCAGACATCTTGGAGTACCACTCTACTGGCGGCCGCGTTCAAAAATGGCGAAAATGAAAGGCTACTACGAATCACTAAACCCGGAGATTAAGACCGTTTACAGAGAAAAATGTGCGTCGATTGGTTCGGTGGACCCTTATTTGATTCCCGTTAAGGATTACAGCACCGATATAAATTCATGGCCTTCACTTTCCTACTGTGATATCGTGAACTACCTGTTTTTTTTCGCCTATTCCATTGTACACCATGGAGGAAATGAAGGCGTACAAAGGACACCAGCTTTTATTTTGGTTGTACCTATATCTATATGTTTACTTTATTTTATAGGGTTTTATATTGTTGCATCAATTAACTTAGTCTTGTGTCTTATGTATTTTTATTATCATACCTTTTACCTCGCCGTGTCTCTTAACCTTTTAAAATGTTATATGTATGTTGTTGCTATGTACCTGTAAAGGTCTTAACATCTGATCTGAGGGGAATTTCTCGTGGTTTATTTTTAACTTGTGATTGTAAAGCACTTTGAGCTACACGTGCTTTATGAAAAGGGCTTTATAAATAAAGCTTTATTATATATTGCAATATATTTACATTCCAAAAGTTGTGAACCTATTCTTGGTTGTCAGCTTCTGTTATGTGCTACCTAACATATGACAAGGTGGTTCTAAATAGTCAACAATCCAATAATATTTTTGTATTTTATTTTTCAGGTATTGCATTCTCAGAGTATTGGGCTGCCGCCAACATGTCCGTGGGTACTGATGAAGAAGGATGGTGCAGTCATCACAGCTAACTGCAACTGCAAGGCTGGTTTGGGATCAACATGTACCCATGTTGCATCTCTCCTTTTCTACATAGAAACATCTATACGGATACGTGATGCCAAGACAGTTACCTTGGAAAAGGCGTCCCCTCTCAAAAGAAACAGAAGTACTAATCAATCTGAATGACAGTGTATATATTTATTTGATTGAACTTGTTTCTTTTACATCAAATCTATATAAAGAACATGTAAGTACACGGCATCTCAGTTGTTTCCCCGACTCAGACTGCAAGGAATCTGGGTGTGATCCTAGATAACAACCTGTCCTTCACCGCAAACATCGCTGCTACAACCCGCTGCTGCAGATACACGCTTTACAACATCAGGAGGATACGTCCCCAGCTGACCCAGAAAGCGACTCAGGTTCTGGTCCAGGCTCTCGTCAACTCACGCCTAGACTACTGCAACTCCCTCCTGGCTGGTCTACCTGCATGTGCCATCCGACCTCTGCAGCTCATCCAGAATGCAGCGGCTCGTCTGGTCTTCAACCTTCCTACATGTTCCCACACCACTGCGCTCCTCTGCTCCCTTCACTGGCTTCCGGTAACTGCTAGAATCCACTTCAAGACACTGGTACTTGCGTGCCATGCTGCGAATGGATCTGGCCCTTCCTACATCCAGGACATGGTTAAACCGTACACCCCAGCACGTGCACTCCGCTCTGCATCAGCCAAACGACTCGCTGCACCCTCGCTGCGAGGGGGACCCAAGTTCCCATCAGCAAAAACACGTGGGTTTGCTATCCTGGCTCCAAGATGGTGGAATGAGCTCCCCATTGACATCAGGACAGCAGAAAGCTTACACACCTTCCAGACTGAAAACTCATCTCTTTCGACTCCACTTCGAGCGATAGAACTATTAACAAAGCACTTATATACTAATAAAGGGCTGGCTTACCTAAAGCCAGTTGAGTAGCACTTGAAATGTTTTGCTCTATGAAGCCTGATGTACTTATATGACTCTGTTTTCTTCAAGGTTGTGTCTTGTTGGTCGAACGCACTTATTGTAAGTCGCTTTGGATAAAAGCCTCAGCTAAATGCAATGTAATGTAATGTAAGTGTAACAATCAAAACAAGTTGTGCACACTAAAATGACACACAAATCATCATTATTTAAACTGACACTCAAAGAGCAAAACCTCAGCTCAAATATCCAAAACTCTAAACACATGTTGAGCTCTGCACCCAATTTGCAATTCAACTTTCCACTTTTTGAAAAGTAAAAGTATAACAACAGTATATTTGTGTTTCTGCACATATTTTGGAGACTTGAACAATCTTTATTTGCAGAATTCTCTATATCAAACGCCATGAAACAGTGTGCTTGAGCACGATGGTGTGTAGTTGGTTTTACAAAATGTCTTGTACTATGAATGAAGTGTGTTCCATTTGGTGCAACAGTTTGGTTTTGGTAAGTGTCTCTGTAGTTCCGGGTGCAGTGCTTAAGTCTGCAGTATATATGAGGTGTTTTGCACTTTGTGTGTATGGTTTTGTTAATTGTGTTTAGTGTTTTGAGAAAATAAGCCCTGCTTTCAAAAAATGTGTTTTAGCATTGAAAAAAACTGTAATATGAACACAATGTTAATCTCTCTGTTATGTGAGGTGATCTCTGCAGCTTACAGTTAAAGAAGCATGTACTTGTTTTTCACTGGGTAAATTGGAAACCTGTAATAAATATAATACTTTGCCCTTTCAATTGTTTTTTTCAAAATGTATTTACCCAAGCTTAATCAGTCTGAGTTGCAGTGCCAGTCTCTGGTTTAATCAGTCCTTCTTCTTCCCCAGTGGCTCCCAGGACTAGTGTGGGCTCTTTTAAAGATGGTATATCAGATACCATGCTGTAGAGATCAAGTAGTGATGGATGACCTTTTTCTGGCGCGTAAACTTATAACTGGCATGTGTAGCAGGGGAAGGTGCTGTAATTTTCTCGTGGCCCAATTTGACAAGTGCCACTTGTAGGTCAGTTATATCCTGGGTGAACTGTTAATTAATACAAATGTGACCTCTTTTGACAGGACAAGTCAGACTTTAGATATATTTAAAATGCTGGTGTCAAGACATTGGAACATGACAAATAATTGAGGAAACCAAAAGCCTCTGAAAAGGTACCAGGGACTGTACAGCCTTTACTGTTTACACATAATCAAATGGCCAGTAGGGGGAGGAATTACTTTAAATTACAGTTAAACGAAGCACTACAGGGGATTGACAGACTGGTGTGAAGATGACCAAGGGATTACTTTACTTTGTAGATACTCCACAATCTGATATGTCGATCGATGACAGACTCCAGGATTCCTATTTCCTTGTTAAGATCCATGTCTTAGTACGTGGGTTATATGTTCATTTTGAATGTTTGTATGTAAAACCCGACACTTACCTGACGTGAAATTATCCCCACAAATGCGAGTATAGTTGTGGTTGGATGGTTTGAGATCCTCCCGAAAATTCATGTGTTGCTTCACCCTGGTGTGTTATAATAACCGCCGGCAGCCTGTAAAATGACTTCGACCCCCTGTTTCGATCACCTCTGTTGCCGCAGCCAACAATGGCACAGAAGTTAACCATTGTATGTCCGGTAAAAAACAAACATTGAACTGGTATGACTTATTACGGTGTCTGTTTTGGTACTCCAGTATGGCCGTTGCGCTGACCGTGACGTCATATGCAAAGCCTCTATAGCTATTGCTTTATCTGATTAATGTTATTTTCATATGAAAGTCCATGATTATAAGTATGCAGTATCATAACTACATCTTTGATGTTTATAAAAAACCAAACCGTTTGAAAATTGGTTGAAAATTGAGCAAGCTATGGTTATTTAAATAGTAAACCATAATGTTATGAATGAGAGAACTGCCTGTAGCAAGATGGCGGCCAAGTGGCAACGTCGGTCTCCATTGGCCAGCAGCGCGGGTGAGTCATCTAGTGTTTATATATATCTATGGAGTGGGCTATCAAGCCCTCAAACAGCGAGTCTGCAGCGATGCTGACTTGAGACCGGTCTCTACCTGACCGGAGTCACGCTGTGTGTGTCCGTCGGGAAACAAGCTGTTAAAAAGTAGTTCCAGCAAACATCCACTGATAAACTACGATGTTAACAACCTCATGATAACCTCATATGTTTTTAACTTAGGATCATACCTGTGTTTAGTCTAGAAAAAGGTAAACATGTGCATTTTATTATAAAGTTGTGTATATTTACAGACCGTTGCAAAAACTAAGAAGCTTATAAACATTAGGTTTAAAACTAAAAGAGCTTTGAAACACAATGAAAGATGTTTGGAGTTTTATTTGAGTTATTAATTTAAACTTTTTTTCTAAGAGATGCTGATTTGAAACCGTTGTTACATACAGTTACGGCATTTCCTGTTTCTGCCGGAGAGAGGGGAGGCCGTTCCAAAGCTTGCTGCTGTATTTACTCCCTCCATCTGACAGGAGGGAGCCTCGTTGAGCTGCGAGTGTGGCTACAGACGGAGTTCACTCCGTCACGGAGGGGTAGGGTCGAGGGAGTGGTTTGGGATTGGGC